TTGCGGACAGAGGTGGGCTTTGTCCAAGAGACACTGGGCGGGGCCTCCAGAGTGATGCTGATTGGTCTAAGGGTGAGCATGTGACCCAGCTCTGGCCAACGAGATGTAAGGAGTAACCTGTCAAGGAGCTTCCGGGGCTCCCGGATAATAGCCGTGGAAGAGTAGCGCCTTTCTGCTCCCTTTCTTCCAGCTTGTAACTGATTCTGGAAGGACAGGGTGACACTAACTGCCCCACTGGGAATGCTGGAGTAAAGCCGCTCCAACTTGGCACAGTGTGTGTGCACGTTCCTTAATGCTCTAGTGCCCACCTGTACGGTTGACTCTCAGTTAACCTGCTCCTTCTCCCCACCCATCCACGAGTTCCGGCAGCAATTCCTCTCAGTCCTCACCTCACCAGCCTCCCGTGTGCTTCTCCTTTGGTCCTCCATCACCTCTGATTCCCGGACCACCTTAGCACCCCCTGCCGCAAGGTACCCGCCCTGCTTTCACAGGCTGGGTTCCACTTCTCTGGTGCCTGGCCTCATACTCTACCCTTGGCTCTACCAAGTCCTCTTCTCTAGGAACCTTGACTTCAAAGTGAGCAAAGTTTCCCTCACACCTAGAGGGAGGCGGCGGTTGCACAACATTGTAGACGCAATAAATAAAGCACACTGAATTGTGTGCTTTAAAATAGTTCGTCGAGGGCGCCTGGGTGGCTCAGTCGGTTAAGCGACTGCCTTCGGCTCAGGTCATGATCCTGGAGTCCCGGGATCGAGTCCCACATCGGGCTCCCTGCTCAGCAGGGGGTCTGCTTCTCCCTCTGACCCTCCCCCTCTCATGTGCTCTCTCTCATTCTCTCTCTCTGAAAGAAAGAAATAAAATCTTCAAAAAAAATAAAATAAAATAGTTCGTTGAATTTACGTGAATTTCCGCTCAAAAAAAAAAAAAATCCCTTCACTCTAAACCTGTTTTGCTCACTCTATTTTTTTTTTAAGATTTTTTTTTTCTTATTTGACAGATACAGCGAGAGAGGGAACACAAGCAGAGGGAGTGGGAGAGGGAGAAGCAGGCTTCCCGTAGAGCGGGGAGCCCGATGTGGGGCTTGATCCCAGGACCCTGGGACTATGACCTGAGCCGAAGGCAGACGCTTAACGACTGAGCCACGCAGGCGCCCCCTCACTCCATTCTCTTGCTACTAGCCTTCATCAAATTTGGCCCTCCCTTGAAAGAACGCACCATATCTCCTGATAGGTCTTATCCCCCATTTCATCTGCCACCTTTCCCTACTCAATAGAAATCCTTAATATGAAGTCCATGAACACCCAAAGAGGGCTGTGAACTCCCTAAAAATATTTGCAAAACTTTAAACATTATACATGAAATTACAAATATTTTAAAGGGGACTGTGATCTCCAAAAATATTAATGTAAAACACATGTTAAAAAAGAGGAGGAAATTGATGTATACAAATATACATCTAGAGAGAGAAAGAAAGAGGATATCTTCAGCAGCGGTTCACAGACTTCAGCATGCACCAGAATCACCAAGAGGGTTTATTAAAACACAGATTTCTGGGCCTCCCCCCTCCCCACACACAAACTTTCTTCTTCTTCGGTAAGTTTGGGGTGGGGTCTGAGAATTTGCATTTCTAACAAGTTCCAGGTGATTATTTTGCTGCTTGTCCAGGGACCAAGGCTGTTGTGAGATACATAAAAACTGTTAATGATTGCCTCTAGGGAGAGGGAACCTTGTTGGCTAAGGGAGCGAGTGGAAGGTGTTCTCACTGTGCACCCTTTTGTATCTTTTGAATTTCTGTCTATGTGAGTATATTACCTACTCAGAAACAAACTTGAGAATGAAAAAAAAAAAAAGAGAGACCATCCCTACCTTAAACTCACTACCCTCACCCACATGACAAGAGAGAGTTTTCTTTAAATAACTAGAGACTCTTCTAGAAGGTCACCACCCTCTCCCTCTTTCTCCCTTTGCTTCTCATTTCTATGCTGTACATCCACTCAATGTTACTTTATTCAAATAATCCCTGCTGCTGGGTACCAGAGCACATTCCCACCTTCCAAGAGGAATCCTACTTGTGTTCAAATAGCTAAAAAACACAATGACGAATTCAGTTGTCTGTCTAAGAAAATAAAACAATCATGAAATACTGTTTTCTGCCAATCAAATTAAAAGTTATTAGATATCCAAAATATGTTGGCAGGCACGAGGGAACACAGACTTTTTTGCACTACTGGTAGAAACAAAAATTGGATCATCTCTAGAAGGCAATCTGGCCTTTAAAAATGTGCACAGCCTTTGACCTAATTAATTCTACTTATAGAAATAAATCCTAAGGAAGCAGCAAGAGATGCATAAAAGCGTTTATAATTAAGGATGTTCATCTCAGCATGAAAAACCAGAAAAAAATTCAATGTCAAACAGTGTTTATTAAATATACTGTGCCAGATTTATCATGGAACGTAATATAACTATAAAAAATCATATTGTACAAAGGTACTTAATGACATGGAAATGTGCTCATGTTGTATTATCAGGTGAGAGAATGTAAATCAGGTGACAAAACAGCACTGTGATATGATGCAATATCTTTAGAAAATTATGAATATCAGATGACTTGAAGGATCTGTTCTACAGTATTTAATAGTGGTTATCTCTGGCTGGAGTGATCATAGGTGGATTTTTTCATTTTATTTTCATTGTGCTCATTAGTATTTTCCAACTTTCCACACTGAGTGTATATTGCTTTTATTAAAAACAAAAACAAAAAACGGGGGAGGGGAGCTTGTGTTGACAAAAATTATGCTTCCTCATAGGAGGGCAATCAAGACCGGTCAGATACGAGGCCTCTGAAGGAGAGTCCTCAGGGAATGCTGTCAACTGCCCATCCTGAGACACCACTCCCTTGGGTTGGGCAAGCTCCTGGCAACCAGGGACTCGTGGGGGCCAGAGCTTTTCACTCTGATCTCCATTTCTGCTGCTGCTTATCAGGACAGCACCCACGGGTGCCCAGCCCCTGGCCAAAGCCCTAGTAAAGCCTGCAGTATACAAATCCACCCAAACCACTGGCTGAGAACAAAACATGGGTGCACATCCTAAGGGAAGGAGCATGTGTCCTGACCTGCGTGGAATGCTGGGTGGTTTGTGGTTAACCACACCTCCCAAGGAGGGCTGGCTTGAGGCCAGGCGAGGCTGGAGCGTGGGAGCCAGCCATGGGAGTGAGAAAAAAGAAAGTGTAGTAATCAAGACAGAGACTTAAGTTGGAACAGTGTAGGAGTTAACAGAGATTAAGACTGATTTAGGCTGACTTTGAAGAAGAACCAGTTTTTCCACCAGGGAACTGGACTTTTCTAGGGCTTGTAGCTCCCTGCTCACACAGAGCCATTGTTTAAAACACCACCACCAAAAACCTCATGGTGATTCTAAGAAAATGCCCAATCTGAAGAATATACCTATGGCTCAGGTCTCCTGGGGACTTTTTAATATGTGCAAAGCCTCTAACATTATTCTTCACAGCCATCTTCCAGGGTAGACTAGCCAGAGCATGGTCCCCAGACTTTAAAAAAAGAGAAAACAGCTGAGGAATTGAAGTCAAGTTTCCACAACTCGACCATGTTGAGAAACAACGCTATAGGATCTATCATGTTGGTTAGTTTACTGTTCAAGAAAAGTTTTCCAAACTCTGTGAACTTTCATGTGGCTATATATATATATATATATATATATATATATGGCAAGGATTAAAGCTGTGACTTAGTAGAAGGAGCACAGGATGTAGAGGAACCATCCAGCTCTGCAACCAACCAGCCAACCACCACACGAGTCTGAGTGCTAGCCCCGCACTCGAGTCAGTTAACCTCTCTGAGCCGTGATTTCTTTGTATGTAAAGCAGAGAAGTTCACCCCTCCAAGAAATATTTATTGAGCACCTACTATAGGTCAGACCCTGTGCTAGGCACTAGGGACCCAGTCATGAGCCGGCTCCCATCAGTCATAGGGATTAAATGGTGTTATGGCCACAGTCTGTCTTTGGACGCTGCAAGGTAAAAATGCTTTTTACATTTTTGAATTAGTGAGATAATTAAAAGGAGGATATTTTGTAACTTGTAAAAAAATTATATAAAATTCCAATTTCAGTGTCCACAAATAAAATTTCATTGGAACACAGTCCCATTCATGAGCTGACATAGTGTCCAGAGGCTACCTCCACGCTCCAACGGCAGAGCTGAGCAGCTGTCACAGAGACGGGGACAAGCCACAAATCTGCAAATATTTACTATCTGACTCTTTACCAAAAAAAAGAAAAAAAATGTGCAGACCCTTGGACTAAAGGGAAAAAAAACAAGATGATTACAGACTGCGAAAAGCTCTATGAAACTAAAAGAGGGAAGGAATTTGTCAAAGCTGTTAAGGCGAAAATTAAAATGCTCCGTGGCTTTATCTAGCATTTTGTAGCATCAGAGTGTTTCTAGGTCTCACTGAGCTGCGGGTACCCACCGGGTGAAGGAACAGGTGCATCCGGAGCGTCAGTGGCTCCCGCCTCCACCTACGGGAGGCAGGCCCTCTAGCCCCACCCAAGACGCGCTGGTGTTCCGGAGTCTTCGAGGGAGACTCGTATGTTCTCGGGCTGCCCTCTGGGAATACACCTGTATTCTTGCCAGAGGCGCTGCTTCCGTGACACCAAAGGTGCAGGGACCAACATGCGGCTATGCTTTCTGCTCTCCTCACCCGCGAGAGAGATGCCGTGCTGCGCAGGGGCATGAGGACAACGCCCCTCCTCCACTCGGTGTCCCTGGGAGTTGACTTTCAACCCAGAGCACACAGCTAGGGCCTCTGTGTCCCTGAGACCCTGTGAAAAAGGCTCCTTCGGTCCCTGCCTGCTGCCGGTCCCCCTGGCCTGGGAGATGATGCCAGAACTCTCGTCCTTCCCCTCCCCCTCTCCCTCCCCCTCTCCCTCCCCCTCCCCCTCCGCCACGCCAACCCTCTCCCCCCCGCCCCCGCCCGGACCTGTATTGAAGCATGAATACAGGTGTCCTTCGGTTTTACAACCTGTATGAGCTCTGTGGTATACACATGGTGTTTCCTAAGCCGGCTCCCGGCAGCGCCCCACCCCTGCACTTGCTCCTACAAGTCCGTGGCACGCGAGTTCGGAAGTGGCCGCAGCCTCCCTGGGTTCCCCGGTGGGCGGTGCGACGCGCGGGGCAGCTCTGGTAGTCGTCGGCGCCAAGCCAGTCGGGGGCCCAGGGCGCCCGGCGGGGGGGGCACCGCGGGGCAGGAGCACGGCCTGCAAGGGAGGCTCCCGCCTCTGGTTGCCTGTGGGGGCCACGCTGGCCTCCCTAACTGTCATCCTCCCCGACTCCGGCCTGCCCCTGTCCCATGGGCTGAACCCTGTCCCTGACTCCTCAGCCCAGCAAGTCCCATCGGCACCGGCTCTGCCGGCGACACCTTGCCGGGAAGGGTCCAGTGCCCCAGGTCCGTGGACCTCCTGCCACCAAGGCTCCACCAGCCAGGGCCCGCACAGCATTTCTCCACCTTGCCTGCGCTCGCCGTGCCCGCTGCATGTCGCCTGCGAGGTGTTCAGACTGGGTCAGCATCCTTAACTCTCCCCTCCCCACCCATGCTTGGGCTTCCTGCCCCACCCCCCATCTTTAAGGAGTATCCTCGGCTCCCCTCTTTGGCCCAGAAACTCTCACCGGCTTGCGTGAGATTGGGGTTCCGTCTAATTCTGGCCTTTTCCAGGCTGGCTTCCTTCCCTTACCCCGAAGGGCCCGTGCCACCGACGTCCCAGCGTGGCTGGGGGCCCAAACCCACCTAACAGTGACGGCAGCTGGGGTCAGGGCTTGGTTTCAAGCTCTAGCAGAGCAGAACGAAAGGTGGGGAGACAGGTGGAAAAGGCAACTAGTAGTAACACACGTCACACTGTCTCTGAGGTGGGCTCAAAAACTGGGGCGGGCCCAGCTTAATGGGAAAACGCAGCCATTTTCCTTTGGGAAAAGGCAAAGACTCGGGTGGTGGGGACGACAGAGGGTGAGGGCGGGGGTTGACAGAGCACAGACCTGCTCCCTCAGCGGGGGCTGGTGGTGAGTTTCTTTTTTGAGGAAAGGCAACTTCTACATTTGTTTCTGTACCTTTAAGAAAGAGAGACAAAGGGACAGAGGGAAATGTGCACTTGCAGGACTCTCAGGCGATTAGCCAAATCCCCCTGGCTTCTCTGCCCTATTTCCAAGCGTGTGGATAGATCCAATTCCTCGCTTGTTCCTCTGTCCCTCCTAATCCAGGATATGATTATATGAAGTAGATTAAAGGTGTCTGTGACCAGTGTAGGGCCTGCTGCACCTCAGGGACAGGTTTTGCAAGAGTCTGTCTTCATTTTAATTCAATTAGCAAACTTGGGAAATGCTCATGCTGACTGCTGATTCTTTTTTTTTCCTTTTAAAGAATTTATCTGTTTATTTGACAGAGAGAGACAGAGCGAGAGAGGGAACAGAAGCAGGGGGAGTGGGAGAGGGAGAAGCAGCCCCCCCCCCCTCCGCCCCAGGAGGGAGCCCGATGTGGGGCTCGATCCCAGGACTCTGGGATCATGACCTGAGCCGAAGGCAGACACTTAACGACTGAGCCACCCAGGCGCCCCTGACGGCTGATTCTTGATGACAAAGTGAAAACTGATTCAAAGTTTTATAGGGAGTTTGTAATCTATGGGACTCTTCTGTCCCTCCAGCAATGCCCTTAAAAAGCAAGCTCTCAGATGCTGGTGGTCAGGCATGTTTCAGGAAAAATTCTTTCATCGGGTGGGAAGTCGAATGGGGGACGTCCAGGGTCCCTTCTAATTCAAAGCTTTTATGTCGCTAAGGTTACTGGATGCTGAAGTGCGGGGCCGGAAAAACCATCTAACAAAAGCAGTTTTAAAAAGACTTGACAACGTGTTTTACCCAGAGCAAAGTGAGTCCAAACATTTCGAACTAGAGCTGTCAACAAAGAATGTGTTTGCAAACCAGATACAATTTAAAATAAACTTCAGCGGGCAAATGACAAACCTTCCCTAAAAAGGCAATTAGATGGTGAGTGAACAAACTTTGGAAGTGGTATTAGAACAGATTTCTACACCATCCAACAGGCGTTCACCCTTTTAACTCCAAATGGACCTGTGCACTTGTTTGGGCCGGGGGGGGGGGGGGGGGCGGGTGGTGAGGGCGTGGGAATAAAAAAAGGGGAAAAGTTAGGATTGTTGCATTCTACTCAGCCGGTGGCTGTGGGAAAGTGACAAGAAACAGAGTACTCCGTGGTAGCTTTAAAAAGGAAAGCAAAACAGGCTAAATCCTGAGGATTGTGGTGCAGGAAGAAAGGGTTATAAAGTGGGTAAGGTGAGGTCCCCGGGGCCATGTGAGCAGGAGGTCCCTGGGACGGTGGGACACACCTCAGTCCAGCTGCTGGTACCCACGGCAGGTGGACAGGGAGTGGCTTACCTTCTTCCTCTGTCACTGATGCCCTTCTAGACCTTCAAGGCACCACATTTGGAAAAGTTCTCGTTCCTTTGAGGCTCATACCCTTCACCCACACTAACCTCTACCTTTTATTGGTGTGGGGGTGGGAGGAGTTTGGGTTTTGACAAAATATATTTTTTAATATTTTCACTGTGCAATAGATCATACTTCGAGTGTGCATGACCTATATGTACATAGTTTAAAGAATAGTAACAAAGCCAAGCACCCACACATTACCACCCAGCTTAAGGAATAAAATATGGCCGATACCTGGAAGCTCCCTCTGTTCCCGCACCCCTTTCCAATTGGTTCTCCACCCCTGGGGCAAGCCACTGATCTGACACCTGAGTTGTCCCTTGCTTTTCTTCCCGGTTTCAATCCATTTATAAGGGATCCCTAACCATTATATTACTTAATGGTGCCTGGTTTTGAAGTTCATCTCATGAATCCATACTAATTATAATCTCTATTTGCTCTTTATGCTTCCCGGTCAGTACTTTTGAAATTCGATATGTAGCTAGTTTATTCATAGTCTGTACTACATAGGATTCCATGGTCTGATTACACCACGATCACTTCTCGATTCTCTTATTTACGGACATATGGGTTACCTTTTTGGTTATAAACACAGCTATTGTGAACATTCTCGTAAATGTCTCCTATAGAATACGTGCAAGCATTTTCTAGGGCCCAGCGACTCGGAGTGTGGTCTGCAGCCCCACTCCCTGCTGGTGCCCAAACCCGCACTGCTTTACGACGAGTGAAGGAACTTGGCATCAGATCATGAAGCAACTACACTATTAAATATAGTGTCGTGGGACCAGCGGTTTTCCCAGGGCAGGACTTCGAAGGAGCAGCTGAGCTACGGTTCTGGGACAAGCACCTCCTTTCTTCTTACGTCTGGGACTTTGCTGAGCACAAGGTGCCCTTTGCCTTTTTTCTTCACCTTCATCTCCTGACCTCTAGGTCACCTCTCCCCAGTCAGTGCAGACTGACCCCTCACTCAGTCTTGAAGTTTTGCTCAACAAAAATCTGTTGAATGGATGAATGAATGAATGAATGAATGGTTTGCCCTTCCCCACCCACACATCTACCTTAGGAGCTTCTGTGTTCTTCCATGAACTTCATCTCCCCAGTTGATTTGTCGGGGTGAGGCAGGGGCAAGCATGGACATGCAGGCTGGGAGAGTCAAAGCCCTTTCCAGCATTTTTCCTCCTGGAGCCAATAAAGGAGGTCACTACCTTTCCAATGCAAAAGCTACGACGCCATTCCCCGGGCTGTCAGCCACCCTCTTTACCAGCTCGGGAGGAAGCAGGTCTGCAATGGCTGGGGACTAAGTCAAGGTACAGAGAAAAGGAATAGGAGCAAGAATAGGAGCGAGGAGCCGGTAGCACTCAGTCCCTGGTTCCACCATGTTGGGCTTGGCTGCATCCTGCCCTTTCCATGCGGTTATTCAGCCTCATTCTTGGTTTTTCCCTTTTTGCCTAAGCTGGCTGGAACTGTGTTTCCAGGTCTGGAAAGAAAATAAATGCCCCATACTTTAGCCCTCATAAGGGGCAGAGAGCTGGAATCGAGATTGACCTTTGGACTGCAACGCTGCTTTTCATGGATATGTTTGAAGAATGGTTATCAGTCCTTTGGATTTGTGTTGGTTCAAACACCAAACCCAAACCCAAACCGAACCAAACAAAAAATGCCAAGCAAATGGGAGATCTGAGGTTACCATACTGCCGTAAGTGTCATTCACATCTTTCCCACCACTGCTCAGGTATCAGCTCGGTGGTTTTGCTTGGCTCATGACCACATGTGTGTCAACGCTGATCTCACACCGGGCATGCAAGGCCCTCTTTACCAGGGGCCTCCTCTGTGGTACCTCACTCAGGCTGCCATGTGACCGCACCAGGAAGGCTCTTTTCCCACATCCAAATATAACCCACATGTGTGTGGCGGGTCCAGGAAGAATGTGCGATGGCAGCCAGGACAGTCGAGGATCTGTGGATAAAAGGAGATGGAGAAGCTCTACGCAAAGGGCTCTAAGAAATAGCAGGAGTCTCCTGAGGAACATTCGGTCCAGAAATAATTGCTTTAAAAGCCAGAGGGGCTTTTAAAACTGTTTTACCACAGAAATTGAAAGCCCTTTGTGGGCATTTCATCTGTCTTAGTTCAACCCGAAGGTGGACACAGAGCACAATTAAGTCACAGTTGTGATGTCTGGATAGAACAGATCAGGACGCCCCCTCCCCCCACCTCACCCATAGATGAGCACCCCACATGTTCTTGGGTCACCTGGTCACAGTCTGTTCTGGGATCTGCCCAACCTGGGCATGCCCCTGCGGTGGATAATCTTGGTGCTCCTCCAAGGTTCTCTCACGTGTCTTCTGAAGGCTTCCATGCCCTCCCTTCTGTGTTTTCTCTCTCTTGCCAGGGCTGTTCCTGGGCTGTGTAAACCCCCTTTGCTCACAGCCAGAAGAGCTGAAAGTGGCTGGCCATTTAACCCCCAACTCTGTGGCTCTTAGCCAATAAATGCTGGGGAGTACAAAAGCCCCCTCTCCTGACTCAGGCTGGGACGACTCTGAGGCAGGTGTTTGAGAACCCTGAAAGGTAAACTGTAGCAGGTGAACTGGGGGGAAAGATGGGGATCCAAGGCAGCACGAACCTTGTGTTGAGTTTGCCATTAGTTTTTCCTCCAATAGCTAGCTCCCTGCCTGCACTCGGAACAGCTTAAAACCCAAAAGAGGACAACGGGGCACAGACTGAGTGCTCCAGGGGGTGCACAAAAGGGAATCCTCATGCTCAGAGACAGGAGCAAAATGTACCACTTTACTGTTTTTTCTTTCTTCCTCTCTGCTTCTCTGTGTCCCAGCCTCCAAGCAGTGCCATGGCTATAGGGCCTGGTATAGAGTACCAAGCTCAAGGAGTGCTAGCGATTAACACTGATGCATGAATGATATTCATTGAATGATATTTTTTGGCTCAGGACTGGTCTTCTCAGCTGGGGACGAATGATGTCGAAGCTGGAAGACGGAGGTTGGAAGAGAAAGTTGTACCTCTCCTACTCCCACTTGAGAGCCTACTACATTATCTTCATTTCTCCTCTCTCCCTTCTCTTCCTCCCTTAATCAAAAGTAGAGACGAGTGTGTATCCGAGAGGACATGT